ATAATATGACTGAATTTACTCTGCAATTTGAGGGGGAGAAAATAGAATCAGAAGTAATGGTAGTACAGCTGAATAAAAGGCAACTAGAGAAGCATGTGAGAGGAGGTGGGCAGAATTGACCAGGAGAGGAGCCTAGCAGGAAAGATAGCAGAACAGCAATGGCAGGAATTTCTAGGAGACACAGCAAAAATTCATCCCTAAAAAAAAAAGAGAAGCCTGGTACAGGGACGATGAGGTAACCAGGGCTGACTAGGGAAGTCGGGATAGCATAAAAGCAAAAGAGAAAGCATATAATGTGGCGAAGGCAGTGGGAAACCAGAGGATTGAGAAGCTTACAAAGACCAACAAAGGGCAACAAAAAAAAAATAAGGAGGGAGAAGATTAAATGAGAGGGTAAGCTAGCCAATAATATAAAGGAGGACTAAGTTTTTTTAGATATATAAAGGGCAAAAGAGAGGTAAAAGTGGACATTGGACCACTGGAAAATGATGCTGGAAAGATAGTGGTAGGGAACAAGGAAATGGCTGAGGAGCTGAATAAATACTTTGCGTCAGTCTTCACAGTGGAAGACTCGAGAAATATCCCAAAAATTCAAGAGTCATGAGGTAGAGCTGAATTATGGCCATCACCAAACAGGTGCTAGAAAAACTGAATGGCCTGCAGGTAGATAAATCATCAGGACCAGATGGACTCCACCCCAGAGTTCTTAAGAGATAGCTGAGGCGTTAGTGGCGTTCTTTCAGGAATTGCTAGAGTCAGGGAACGTCCCAGAGGACTGGAAAATCGCTAACCTGACACCCCAGTTTAAAAAAGGAGTAAGGCAAAAGACTGAAAATTAAAGGCCGATTAGCCTAACCTCGCTCGTGTGTAAGATTTTAGAGTCCATTGTGAAGGATGAGATTTCTGAATACTTGGAAGTGCATGGTAAAATAGGGTAAAGTCAGCATGGTTTCATCAAGTTAGAATTCTTTGAGGAGTAATGACCAAGGAGAGCCAATGGATGTTATCTACCTGGACTTCAAGGCGGCCTTTGACAAGGTGTCACATAGGAGACTGCTGAGTAAGATAAGGGCCCATGGTGTTAGAGGGAAGGTGCTAGCATGGATAGAAGATTGGCTGCCTCACAGAAAGCAGAGTGGGGTTAAGAGGGTCTTTCTCAGGATGGCAGCTGGTGACAAATGGTGTTCCATAAGGGTCAGTATTGGGACCACGACGTTTCACTTCATACATCAATGATCCAGATGAAGGATCTGAGGGCATTCTGGCTAAGTTTGTAGACAATACAAAGATAGGTAGAGGGGCAGGTAGTATTGAGGAGGCAGGGAAGTTGCAGAAGGATTTGGACAGGTTAGGAGAGTGGGCAAAGTGGCAGACAGAGTACAGAGTACAATGTGGGGAAACTGCGAGGTCATGCACTCTGGTAAGAATAGAAGCATGGACTATTTTCTAAACGAGGGAAATTCAGAAGACTAAAGTGCAAACAGACTTGGGAGTTCTAGTCCAGGATTTTCAAGGTAAACTTGCAGGTTGAGTCAGTAGTTAGGAAGGTAATTGCAATGTTGGCACTTATTTTGAGAGGACTTGAATATAAAAGCAGGGATGTACGTCTGAGGCTCTGGTCAGGCCACATTTGGAGTATTGTGCAGTTTTGGGCCCCTTATCTCAGGAAAGATGCATACTGGCCATGGAGCAAGTTCAGAGGAGGTTCAGGAGAATGGTCCCAGGAATGAAAAGCTTAATGTATGAAGAACGTTTGAGGGCTGTGGGTCTATACTCAATGGAGTTTAGAAGAATTGGGGGGCGGGGAAATCTAACTGAAAAACTTACAGAATACTGAATGGCCTGGATAGAATAGATGTTGGGAACATATTTCCATTGGTAGGAGAGACTAGAACCAGAGGGCACAGCGTCAGAGTAAAGGGAAGACCTTTTTGAACAGAGATAAGGAGAAACTTCTTCAGCTAGAGATTGGTGAATCTATGGAATTCACTGCCGGAGTAGGCTGTGGAGGTCTGGTCATTGAGTACATTTAAGACAGAGATAGACAGGTTTTGATTGTCAAGGGAATCAAGGGTTACAGGGAGAAAGCGGGCTGAGAAACTCATCAGCCATGATTGACTGGTGGAGCAGACTCGATGGGCTGAATGGCCTAATTTCTGCTCCTATGTCTTGTGGTCTTAAATGCAAGTTTTCATTCTTTATTGAAAGGCAACTTATTGCTAGATTTCAAGTGTGAAACATTATGGAGAAAGCAGAAAGAAGGAAAATTAATGGTTGCCCGAGAATAAATTTCTCCGTCAATAGTACATTTTAGTTACAATATGACCCATTTTAAATTGTTCTGCTTTAACACTGAGTTAGGGGGATTGATAGTCATGATTACCACTAGATTTATAATTTTTATGTTCCAAACTGGGTTTGATCTGATCAGTGCTCCCTTGACCCTCAGTAGGTCATCACTGATCCCCTCTTCTGCCATTTTCCAGCTGGTGACTCACCTTTGCAGCCCTGCAATTCAAAGCTCTTGTTATCTGTCTCTTGCTACTCATCTTGCAAACCCTTGTTCACAGCAAGTGTTCAAGAATGGGATATAGTGAACAAAAGGTTCAGGAAATAGGAGGGTGGGGGAAGGGAAGGTTCAGCACCTGATAAGTGGCAACTGGATGCATTGGGGAGACAAACAGATAGTCAGCTGGGGTGTCAGGAGCGGGAATGTGGTAAAGCTACGTAGTATTTGTCCAAAATGCTAGTTATTTAAATTTTAAATACTATTACATTACAGCTCTAGTGTCTAGTCTCAAGACTGTAAACTTCACCTTTTGTATTTCAGATACAGCAGGCAAACATGCAAGAAATACATGACATGAGATGTAAACTGAAGGCTCAAGAATATCCTGAGTAATTGCCTGCTACAAGTATGGCTTGCTAGGCAATTTCAGAGGGCAGTTGAGACTCAATCACATTGCTTTTGGCCTGGAGTCACATGTAGGCTTGACCTGGTAAGGATGGAAGACTTCCCTTAACAAAAGGACATCAGTGAATGAGATAGATTCTTTATAACCATTCTTGATTATTGTATAAAGATAACAAGATGTAGAGCTGGATGAACACAGCAGGCCAAGCAGCAGAGGAGCAGGAAAGCTGACGTTTCGGGCCTAGACCCTTCTACATGGTTTTGATTATCTTCGAGGGCAATAAAATGCCAGCTACACATATATTCCTTGAACGAATAAAAACCCTTGGTCCAGTATAAAATAACAGCTTCAGTACTCGAGAAAATTACCATGGACAAGGGGCAAAATGAGAATCCTAATTAGGATTCCTCAAGGGAGGGCTGCTGTAGTGTAATAGCAATGCCCCATCTCTAATCCAGGAGGCCCATGACCAAGTCCCACTCGCTCCAGTGGTGTGTAGTGGCATCTTTGAATAAGATGATTAATAATGTCCATAATTCCTTGTAAGGAATTGAATGCCAGCCCTTAACCTGAAGGCAACATTTCAACAGGTGCAACAAAAAGGAATTCTGCCGAAATTGAGGGCAGTGAGATTAAGGGAGAACTGTCTGCTGGTCAGTCAGGCACAAAAGAATATGGTTGTGACTGTTGGTGGCCAATCATTTCAAACCCAGATGTTGCTTTAGGGGACCCTTGGGATTTTTTTTAACAAAATGTACTTTTTTTAAAAATCAACCTGTTCAGAGATGTTATTACATAACTCTGGAGCAGGTGAGATTTGAACCTGGGTCTCTCGGTCCAGGGGTAGGGACACTATCTCTGCACCACAAGAGAGCCCTCCTCAGGTGCCGCAGGAGAGTGTTCTTAAGCCTAATAATCTTCAGCTGCTTTACCAATGATATTAAGGCTAGAAGTGCTGATGATTACAAAAGGTTCAGTACTACCCACAATTATTCAAGTACTGAAGTAGACCACGACAATATGCAGAAAGACCTGGACAACATTCAGGCTAGGGCTGATATCTAGCAAGTAACATGCACCATACAAGTGTCAGGCAAAGAGCATCTTCAACAAGAGAGAATCTAATTACAGTTCCATTACATTCAACAGTGTTTCAATCACTGAATTCCCCACCAATATCCACAAGGTTTACAATCCACCAGAAACTGAACGAGACTAGATAGAAATATTGGGCTAAAAGAACAGGAAATTTTAAGGAGAATTATTTGCCTCCTGACACTTGAACGTCTGTCCACCATTTAAAACACACAAGTTAGAGAGACTGAATACTTGCTGTTTGATGGACAAGTGCAACTTCAACAGTCTCCCTTGATTTGCAACCCACGCAGCACCGGAAACATTCACTCGATCCACTACTGATGCACACTAACAGCAGGGTGTGTCATGTACAGGGCAGCAACCCACCAAGGCCCCTCTAACCATACAGGTGACCGCTACTACCTAGGAGAAGGAGAGATGTTTGGAAAACCAATATCTACCTGAATGTTCTACTCTGTACTGTCACAGCACCAGAATCCTGTGTGGGTGTACCTTCAGTAGATGGACTGCTGTAGTTCAAGTAGCCAACTCATCACTATTTCCTTAAGGTCAATTAAGGATAGGCATTCAGCAATGGCATTGCTTTCAACACTTAACTCAAGAAAGTAGCAAATACAAAAGAGAAGTTGAGCTGTTTGCATTCTAAATTTTACATAGCATGCAAATACTACTAATAGGGTGATGGCTGAACATTTCAACATGTAATATACCACGTTGTACTGATCATGGAATGTTGATACTGTGAATTTCCTCTATTAGTGAGCATCAGTTCCTTTTATGTCATGATGCAACTACTGCAAACAGACCACAATCCAGCCTCCAGACTACCCACAAGCAATGAGTGTGCAAGTAAAATTCTTAAGGAACCAAAGCACGAAAGTTACATCATAACATTGAACCAGCTGCAACCAAAGAACATACTTTGATATTACAAAGCCCAAGTTCAACTTTTAAAACATTACACAACGTGTAAACAAACATACTCACGTTTCAACATAGCTGGAAGGAGTGTGTGTTACACTGTCAAGTCTTTCTTGTAAAGCTGCCAAGACTTGTGGATTCTGCATGACCTGGGCTGTCAATTTTGCTGTAACACATGAGGATTCATGGGGTCAGAGTCAGAACAAAGGCATCAGGAGGACAGTCAACATCTGACAAAACCATATTTTGTCCTTTCTTATTTGAGGCAACAGTATAAAAGATCTGCAGAAATCACATTCAAACATCATGACTTACCTTGCCTTTATCCTATTATTTAGTTTTTTTAATATATTGATTACAATACAAAAACTTTCCATTGATAAATTTGCTCATGTTCAAGCTCTGTGAATACATTCCAAGTCTCGTTAACTTAGATACTCCTCTTGGGCATCTAGAAAAGTTATAGAAACTAACCAGCTCATCTACAGATACCATCTCACATATGCAATTTGCAACTAGTAGCGAGACTCAATGCATCCATTCACCAGCTAAATAAATGCCTGCAAATAAAAAATTCGAGAGATACTTGGTCAAATTAGGGAAAGGAAAAAAATTTGATGTGTGCCTCTCCAACTACTAGGAGAGGAAAGTGAGTTCCAGAAGATCACTGGCAAGAAGTGCCATAGATCTGTATGGAAATTTGATGATAAAGCCTTTAGTTGGTTCTATCTTAATGCATAAATGGACTAAAGTACACAAACTGGCAGCATAAAGCAAGGCAAATAAATATGACCTCGTAGTATGGAAACATGGTTGCAAGGGGATCGAAAATGGGAACTTAACATTCAGGGATAGTGTTTACTGTGGAGAAGGATAAGAAGATAGAGAACATGATGAAATAAATAGCAACATCTTGAAAAATGTCCACATTACAGAGGTGGTGGTGCTGGACGGCTTAAAACGCATAAAGGTGAATAAATCCTCGGGACCTGATCAGGTGCACCCTAGAGCTCTTTGGGAAGCGATTGCTAGGCCCCTTGCTGAGGTATCTACATCATCGACAGCCACAGGCGAGGTGCCAGAAGACCGGAGGTTGGCTAACGTGGTGCCACTATTTGAGAAGGGTAGTAAGGAAAAGGCAGGGAACTATAGACCAGTAAGCCTGACATCAGTGGTGGGCAGGTTGTTGGAAGGAATCCCGAGAGACAGGATTTACATGTATTTGGAAAGGCAACGACTGATTAGGGATAGTTAACACGGCTTCGCATGCAGGAAGTGTGGGTGACTCTTAACTGCCCTCTGGGCAATTAGGGACAGGCAATAAATTCTGGTCTAGCCAGCGACACCCTCATCCTGTGAATGAATAAAGAGAAAAACAAAAGTTTTTTGAAGTAGTAATGAAGAGGATTGATGAGGGCAGAGGACATGATCTATCTGGACTTCAGTATGGCGTTCAACAAGGTTCCTCTTGGTAGACTGGTTAGCAAGGTTAGATCACATGGAATACAGCGAGAACTAGCCATTTGGAATCAAATCTCATTCCTCAAACTTGCAAAACATCATGTCTAAATACATTTTCTTTTTACAAAAAGCTTTAACTTGCCAGAGCTTTGTCCTGTAAATGTAATCTAGGACAGCATTAAAGAATCTGGCACAAAACTGCCCCAGGACTTTTACATGGGTCTCTCAGGTCCACCTGTGTCCATTACCAGATATATCATTGAAAAATACAAAATATTTCATGTTTTGGTTTCACAGGTCGTCGCAACATCGAGGACCGAAGGGCCTGTACTGCGTGTTATGTTCTATGTTCTAAAACTGGCTTGTAGGAAGAAGGGTGGTGTGACCAGTGGTGTGCCACAAGGATCAATGCTGGGTCCACTGCATTTTGTCATTTATATAAATGACATGGATGTAAACATAGCAGGTATGGTTAGTACATTTGCAGATGACACCATAATTGGAGGTGTAGTGGAGAGCGAAGAAGGTTACCTCAAAGTACAACAGATTCTTGAAGAGATGAGCCAATGGAGTGGCAGATGGAATTTAATTTAGATACATGTGAGGTGCTGCATTTTGGAAAGGCAAATCAGGGCAGGACTTATACACTTAATGGTAAGGTCCTGGGGAGTGTTGCTGAACAAAGACCTTGAGTGCGGGTCATAGTTCCTTGAAAGTGGAGTCACAGATAGATAGGATATTGAAAGCGGCATTTAGTATGCTTGCCTTTATTGGTGCATTGACTATAAACGTTTAGAGCCCATGTTGCAGTTGTACAGAACATTGTTTAGGCCACTTTTAGAAAAAAAAAGGGTGCAATTCTGGTCTCCCTGCCATAGGAAAGATGTTGTGAAACTTGAAAGGATTCAGAAAAGATTTACAAGGATGTTGCCAGGGTTGGAGAGTTTGAGGTGAAGGGAAAGGCCGAATAAGCTAGGGCTATTTTCCCTGAAGCGTCAGAGGCTGAGAGATGACCTTATAAAGATTTATAAAATCATGTAGGGGGTGGATAGGGTAAATAGACATGGTCTTTTCCCTGGTGTGGGGGTGTGCATAACTAAAGGGCATGGTTTTAAGATGAGAGCAGAAAGATTTAAAAAGGTCCAAAGCAGCAACATTTTCATGCAGAAGGTGGAATATATGGAATGAGCTACCACAAGAAATGGAGGAGGCTGGTACAATTACAACATTTAAAAAAGGCATCTGGATGGGTACCTGAATACGAAAGGTTTAGAGGGTTATAGGCCAAATGCTGGGACTAGATTTATCTAGGATATCTGGTCAGCATGGATGAGTTGGACTGAAGAGTCTGTTTCTGTGCTGTACATCTCAATGACACTTTGGAGAGACAGGAGGGATTGAAAAGATGGCAGGGTAGCAATAAGAAGTTGAATGAAGACAGTTTAAAGAGAAGATCTAGGTTTGGAATCCATTTGGGCAGGCGTTTAAAAAAATCAACAGCAAGTAGACATTGGTAGGAGTAGTGTACAGACAGTAGTCACTCTGTGGGAAAAGCTATAAATTTGACAAATAAGACAAGCACATGAAAAGAATAGAGCAACAATTACAGGTGACTTTAATCTTCACATTGATTGGGTCAATCAAAAAGGAGGAATAGATATGACAGCAAATTCAGAGGGTGCATGAGGGATATGTTTCCTCAAGCATTGTATCACGGAGCTAACAAGGGAGTAGGCTACCTTGAATCTGGTAATGGGTAATGAGGCAGGTTTAAGAAATGACCTCTGAGTAAAAAGATCCCCAAGGAACATGGTCACACGACTGAATGTAGCAGAGAGTGAGAAATGTGGGTCACATTCAAGAAAAAAGACTAAAGAATTGCGGATGCTGGAAATCAGAAACAAAAACAAATTGCTGGAAAAGTTCAGGAGCTCTGGCAGCATCTGTGGAGAGAAAGCAGAGTTACTTTCTCAGGTTCAGCGACCCTTTAGTACCGAAAAACGGTCACTGGGCCAGAAATGTTAACTCTGCTTTCCATCCTGATGCTGCCAGACAGAGTTTTTCCAGCAATTTCTGTTTTTGGGTTGGAAACAGCTGCATTTAGCTTAAATAAGGGAATTACAATGAAATGAGGACAAAGCTAGCTAAAGTGTATTATGTGGAGAGATTAGTAGGAATGACAGTAACCAAGTATTGGCAGACATTTAAGGAGGCAATTCATGATTTTAGCAAAACTACAACAGGAAAGGTTCTACGAGAGATAAATCATCATGGCTAACTGAGAAAATCATCATGGTTAACTGAGAAAGGTAAGGAGAGAATTAAGTTGAAACTAAAAGCATATGAAGAGACAAAGTCTGGGAAGATGAGATAATTTCAGAATCTAGCATTGGAGGACTAAAGAGATAATATACACAGAAGGGTGAACTTGTAAAAAAATATAAAAACTGACAAAGCTTGCTTTAAATGTATGAAAACGAAGAGATCAAAGTGAATATCAGTCCCTTAGAAAATGACTTAGAAATAGACTGTTTTGAAGAACAAGGAAATGGCAGGAGTCTTTACGGTGGAACATATTTTGAACATCCCAATAACATGAAAGAATACGGTGAAGAATTAAGTACCAATCACCCTCACTAAAGTAGCAGCATTGGGCAAATTAATGTGGCTAAAGGCAGCTAAGTTCCTTGGCCCTGAAAGCTTGCAACCTAGGATCCTAAAAAGGAGGTAGCTACAGAGGTAGCAGATGCATTGTTGGTAATTTTCCAAAAAAAAAGGTATTGGATTTGATAGGAGGAAGAGAGATTGGAAAACTGCCAATGTGATACCCCTATTCAAAAAGGGAGAGAGACAAAAAAAAAAAGCAAGGTTGATTAGCCTAAAAATCAATTTTTGCTAATTATTGGAATCAATTATTAAAGTAGTAACAGCAGAACACTTGGAAAAATCAGTCAGGAAGGCTTTATGAAAGGGAGGCAATGGCCGAGTGTTATCATTATCAGGCTATTAATCCAGAATCTCAGATAATATTCTGGGGATCTGGGTTTGAATCCCACCACAGCAGATGCGAAATTTGAATTCAGAGAGAAAAAAAAAAAAATCTGGATTTAAGACTGATGACCAGGAAAGTATTGGCGATTGTCATAAAAACTCTCAACTGCCCTCTGAAATGGCCTAGCAAGCCATTCAGTTGAATCAATCATGACAAAGTGTCAAAAAGAAATGAAAGTAGACAGACCACTTGGCACTGACCCAGGCACTGGAAAAGACAATGGCAGAAACAGCCCAATCGACATTAGAAAGTCCTTCTTACTAACATCTAAAAGATCTAGTGCCAAATTTGGAAGAGCTGTCTCACAGACCAGTCAAGCAACACCTTGACATAGTCACACTTTTGGAATCATACCTTACAGACAATACCCCAGACACTATCACCACCATCCCTGGATATGTGTTGTCCCACCAGGAGAAAGTGGAATAGTCAGGAGGGAGTTGTTGTAGGAGTCTTCAACATCAACTCTGGGCCCCCATGAAGTCTCATGCCTTCAGCTTAAACATGGGCAAGGAAACCTCCTGGTTATCACATACTGCCCTCCCTGCGCTGATGAATCAGTTTTCCTCCATTTTGAGCAATACTGACAGTGGGGACAGCACAACATCTACTTTGGGCAGGGGATTTCAGTGTCCACCACCAACGTATCCAAT